AATGTGATTTATCAACACCATCTTTAAATTTGCAACATCTGTTGTAAATATATGTAAAGGCCTATGTTTAAATATATACATTTACTATAATATGAAATATTGTTACTGAAAAGTGTTATAACATAAGCAAACATAATTAAAATAATCTATTTACTTTTCCAACAAAGGCAGGGTTTCTGCGGGGCATCGAAAATCATTAAATGACCTGTAATAACTAATAACAGTCATTCAGGACTTCCGTTCAAAAACTCGGGAAGTCTTCATTCATTTCAAACATTTTTTTGTATAATTAATTAATTTAAATGAATGTTTCTAATAAACACATTTATAGCAGAACTTCATTTAAATTAATGTTTCTAATAAACACATTTATAACAGAACCTCAAGTAAACTACATGTTATTTTGTTTAGTCATATACATGTGGGAGCTTTTTCAATTTATTACTCAGAATGACTTATTAGCCTACAACACCTTTAAATACTTATTCAGTGAAGTACAGCAGGATGCAGGAAATGGTTGAGTATTACAACAACAACAACAGAACACATTACATAATTGTTATTAAATTAAATATCTGGACATTTAACACTTATTTGATAACATTACAGATTGAGCAACTTTGGTGTATAAGACAGCAGGTTAACCGGGTAGCTGTATTTTGTGCGAACGATATAAATCATAATGTGATTTTGTAGAAATTGTAATCAGGTACTATAAAAAGAATACACATTAACAGTGTTTAGCAGTAACGTGTTACTGACATCTGATTTCAATTTTTAGTAACGGAGTAATTTAATGCGTTATAATTTATAAAATAGTAATTATAGAGTATACGACATCGATCTACACTTACAGACTTTTAATTTTGGTTACTGGAGAGTGTGAACATTCGCGTCCTATATACTGCTAGACCCGAAGTGTCTCTGTGAACTGGAGCGCACACACAGAACATTCCAACAGAAGCCAGGGCTGTTATCTTACTCCGTTAATTCTAAACACAGAATAAAAACAACCACAAATAAGGCCATATCGCCAAGTGACTCCCCTACACATCTGTCTCCATGACGATGACAGCCACACTTTTTATAACAAGGCAGTAAATGAACCAAACCTTCCCGAACTAACTTGAACATAAACACAAATAACATTGCTAATGCAAAAACTCAACCATCTTGCTTAATTAACACATAAATCAACTCTAAAGAAATACCCATAATGCCCCTGGCTGCTAGCCCTCACTGCCATTACAATACCAAACCATGCACGCAGCAGCCGCTTGCTTTAGTTAAAATAACAGTGTTCTGTGAATGTTGATGCTTTGATAACGAATACTTATCGGGAGCGTGTATGCTGGGATTTCATAAATGTAATGGAGAATAGAGTAACAGTAACTAGTAATGTAACTAATTACTAATTACTTTTGAAATAAAGTAATCAGAACAGTAACATAATTACTTTTAAAAGGAGTAATCAGTAATCAGTAATTTAATTAAATTTTCAGAGTAACTTGCCCAACACTGCCCA